TAGCAGCAGCAGCAGCAGCAGCATCGTCATCAGCAACATCAGCATCAGCATCAGCACCATCATCATCATCATCAGCATCATCATCATCATCATCATCATCATCATCAACATCAGATTCATCATCATCATCATCATCACCATCATTATCATCATCATCATCATCATCATCATCATCATCAGCATCATCATCATCATCAGCATCATCATCATCGTCTTCCTCATCATCATCATCATCAGCAGCAGCAGCATCATCATCATCCTGACCACCACCATCGTCATCATCATCATCATCATCATCATCATCATCATCATCATCATCATCATCATCATCATCATCATCATCATCATCGTCAGCATCATCATCATCATCAGCATCATCATCACCAGCATCATCATCATCATCATCGTCGACATCGTCATCATCATCATCATCATCAACAGCATCATCAGCATCATCATCCGCATCAGCAGCATCAACATCATCAGCATCATCATCATCACATCATCATCATCATCGTCAGCATCATCATTAGCTTCATCAGCAGTATCAGCATCAGCATAAGCATCAGCATCATCATCATCAGCATCATCGTCAGTATCATCATCAGCATCGTCAGCATCAGCATCAGCATCATCGTCATCAGCAGCATCATCAGCACGATTAGCATCATCATCACCATCATCATCATCATCATCGTCATCATCATCATCATCATCATAAGCATCATAAGCATCATCATCATCATCATCAGCATCATCATCATCATCATCATCAGCAGCAGCAGCAGCAGCAGCAGCATCAACATCCATTCTCTCCTTGCCTCCCTCCCGCCCGCCCGACTCCTCATTCCTCTCTGGCCTCCTCCCTCCTCCACCGCTCGCCTGAGCCCCCCTCCCGCCCTGTGTGCCTTCCTCGAAGAGCTCTGCATGGTCTTCTCCGCCTGCCACGCGTGGGGGGGGGGGGCGTCGACTCTGGGAGGGCGCCAGGCAAGGGGCGCGCCCTGCGGGGGGGAGGCGGGGAGGAGAGAGGGCGGAAGGTTTGGGTTGGCCCTCAAGGCGGTCAAGGAGGCATACATGAAACCCTCGTGGTCGGACACCCCTTCGAACTCGGAGTCCGACCCGGCAGAGGCGGCTGACATGCTATGCGAAGTATCCTCTGCAAGTGCCCCCTCCGAAGGACGCCCGGTTGAAGTTCCAAAGGGTGCTCATTCACCACCTCATCCCCACTTCCTCCTCCTTCTCCTCCTCCTCCTTCTCCTCCTCCTACTCATGACAGTCCCCGCCATCCTCCCCCAAGTGTTCCCCGAAGGGTTTCCACAGCGGCTGGGAGAACACATGGTCCGACAGCTTGGCAGAGATCTTGCCACATTTCGGCCACATGGGCGATTCCAAAAGGCATGGGGGCGACGGTTATTCGCTGTAGGCGTCTTCGATTTCTGAGAACAACTGTTGACGAAAACAACTACCGCTGAGAGCCACTGCCGACTCAAAGCAGCCTGATTCATCCAACCCATGTGGATCTGCACCACCACCAAGCTGGTCAACTGTGTTGTGGTCGACTGTCTTAGCACTCAACATGATCTTTCCGTCCTCAACCATGTCAATAAATAGAATGTCACCCCCAACGTGTACTAATGCATCCAAGGCTGATGTGACATCGCGTGCGTCCGTGACGAATCGTGTATATGACGGCGCGGGAATCACAAAATGTAAGGTGTCCTCTTGGTTCGCTGCTGTATTGGCCGTGTCGCCAACATATAGTTGCTTCTCGTCTGCACGGAGTATCGGTGTATATTCGGGAGGCGGCGGGCACTGTCAGAGCACCGGAGCTATATACATCTGCACGATTGGAAAATTAGGCGGGAGACTGAGTCTAATTGACTGTGCCGAACCACAACCCAGTTCCCTTTGACCGTCTATCAACATTGCTTGAATATAAACGTGGCTGGCATGAAGAATGAAAGGTACATGCTCTATCAACTCTCGTGAACTGCGCCATCGATCGATCCATCAATCTGTGTCGATTAACGCGCGATGCGCAGGTCCCTCCTGGCGGGGCGGCGCGCGTTGCCTCAGGCCTGAACCCTTCGGGCCCTAAACTTGCTCCTCCTCCTCCTCCTCCTCCTCCTACTCCTCCTCCCTCCTCTTGCTCCTCCACCGCCCTCCTCCATCTTGCTCATTGTCATCCCTCCACCTCTTCATTCTCATCCTCTTCCGCCTCGCTGTCCTCCTCCTCCTCACCCTTCTCCTCCTCCTCGTCCTCATCACCACCACCACCGCCACCACCATCATCA